GATGGGCATTATCTCCTGGGCTCCATCCGCCTCCTCAAAGGAGGACTGGACACAACCAAGTCCTATTGGCCAGTTACCTCAAAGACTAACAAGCCGGGTCCTAATTCATGCAGATGACATTGGAACGTGGTAGCAAATGATGTGTGTGTGTGTGTGTGTGTTGACTTAAAGACGTGTATCTAATGCAACAGAGGAAAAAAAGGAGAAACAGAAAAAGAAAGAGTCTGTGGCCACATCCAGAGACTTCAACACAAAATATAGTTCTAAAAGAAAAGAAAACAATGGATAATCTACATAGATCATGTGATAGCATACCATGCTAAAGTGAGTATTTTTAGCCAAATCCTAACAATCCCCCTTTGGACATAATTTTATTAAGTCAATCAAAAGAGGTGGAACGGTCAGTCCTGTGTTGTATCTCAACACCTCGCGTCCGCCTCTCCTACAAGATCACAAACCACAAACCTAACATTAGCAAAGTCAGTGTGACTGACTACAGGGCTTCAGAGATCAAATCAGCAGTCTTCGTCATCATCATCATCATCTGGGTAATCTTCAGTCACCACGTCTCCGGGCTCAGAGAGGGGGGGCCAGTGGCACAGTTTCACCTGAAAGTTTCAAAAGTTCCACTGAACAGCCAAACATTTTGGAAAAAAAACACAAACACACCAGCTCATTCATCCAAAAGAAGACAGAGACAGTGTATTGACAAGACAAAATATTCAACACTGATAAATGATTAAGATACAGGTACCCGGGTACTGAAACCTAATCTCCAGAATGGAGTCATTTTAAAGTTTTTTGTCAGTTGGGGTCTGTGGTAAAGTTTCCAGTCTTAGTCACTGAAAGTGAGGTTTTTAGTCAGCCGTGACCTCAGTCATGAGTCTTTCTGCAGAATCACAAACGTGCACATTGTGGATCCAGATGTTTAGTCCTGTTTTCTAACAACCTTTTTCTCCTTTTGCATTGAAGACTCTTGCAACTTGATTTTCTTTCCTCTTGGTGATAGTGGAGACAAACCGAGTTTCCTTATCTTCCTGGGATTCCAGTTCTGATGCTCCGACAGGAGATGTGTGCTGCTGAGCTTTTCTGGGTTGTTAAGCTGTAACCTGTTGAGAGACACTCATCACAGTGTTATTTTATTGTTACACACTTTCTTTTAATTCTCCCTACTAGTAATGATAAAAAAAGTAGTTAGTGATCTCAAATTCATCGTGGCTGTGTCCATCACTAAAGAGGGTCACATGATGAAGGAAGTACATCAACACTTCTCTGTCTGTAGTTCTCCTACTCTCCCCCTTTTGAAAAGGACTGCCGTTCTTTTCATCCACCTCAAGATGTCAGAGAGATGAGGTACAGAGGCTATGGAGGGGAGGAAGGGAAACCACCATGGAACAGGATTTGTTCCAGATTGGGTCTCTTTCTCTTCATGTTCCTGTTTGTTTCTCCCATGAGGAGCATTTCCCAGCTAGCATGGGGTTGTGCGTGTCCTGATCCTTTGTGTGTGTTTCTGGTTTCAGCCGTTGGAGAAAAAGCAGCAGCAGTGAGAGCGAATAAAGCCTAAAATCCTCTGAACCAGCAGAGGGAGCAGCAGGGACTGTGGAGAGGAGAGTCCCAGGTGGAGCGGGGATGCCTGGAAGGAGGAGCCTCCATCCAGATGAGCCCAGAGGACTCAGTCTGGTGCCCCCCCCCACACCTGCAGCATCCCCATCAGAACCGGAGCCCCCCCCAGACAGCAGAGAGCTCAGTAAGAGACTGTTTCAGCCATATTCAATTCAATTTTATTTCTACAGCGCCACATCACAACAACAGTTGTCTCACAGCTTTCCAAACAGAGCAGGTCAGACCTACTCTGAAGTTAACTACAGAAACCCAACAATTCCCACCATGAGCAAGCACTAGGCGACACAGGCAAGAAATATTCATCCCCTCTGTGGCTTCTACTGTTAGAAAGTGAGAATATGTTGTTTCAGACAATAATCATCACACTTTAGAGCCGTCAGGCTGCAGATCTGGATGTCTGTGGATCACTGCAGTT